ATATATATATATATTTGGGATTAGGATGATTATATCAGGATAGGGATTGTATAAGGGTGAATTAGGTTTAAACGTGTCAGTTTTATGTTTGTCTCAAAGTGTTGTGGGTGGGAAAGAGGCTTAGAGGGAAACAGTTTTCTTTGTGGAATTGCTATTTACAGTACGTATCTCTCTTTAAATAAAATATACTGCAAAAGACAACAAAAACAAAGAAAAAAGGTTGAAGAATCGAAGTTTCTGTGAATCACCGTAGACAATTTTGAAGTGTTCTACTTGTCTCACATTCTGTAAAATTGGTGATATTCTATGCATGTGGCTTGTGGAGAACCAAATAAATTGAATTTGATGTACATACTGTATGAGTTGCTACTACAACATGATGCTACAGCGATGGTTCATGCATGAAGTGCAGTTCTGTGACTCCTGCGGCCTGATGGCTGACAAGTTAAGGGCTCGCAAACGCTTGAATGCTTAAGGGACTTTCAGATAGGACGCTGTCTATCTACATGTCAGTGTAATATGCTGGGATTCAAACATTAGATAGCCCCAGATGGTCACGTGCCTTTTGAATGCTGGGTGCAAGATATGGTGCTGACACATGGAAATCATGCAAAATGTCAGTTTGCCAGTTATCATTCCCCTGTTTGTTTAGCTGAGGTTAGAGGCCCAGTTTTATCACAACATTTGACAATACTTGGGAGCAGAAGTTTAGCTAATCCCAAAGTATGATTCAGTTAGTCAGGTTTGTTATTTAGTCATTAAATGAATTCATCAGCTGATACTGTAAATGAAATGAAAGAAGCTTGATCTGTCACCAACAAAACAGATATTATAGAAATACTATGACTTTATACAGAAGGAATGTTTTATTTACCGCAGACTTCAGCTACACTCTTTGAACTAACATTTTATAAATACAGTGTGAAAGGTGAAGATATGACCTAAAGCAAATAGCGACCTGTTACTGTAAGTGGAACGGGACATTTCAGTGCACTGCTTCATCATAGTACAAACACTGACAAATGTCACAGTACAGTTGTACTGAGGAATTAAACAGTGGAACACGTAATTCAAAAGCTCACCTTGTGCATTATATGTTCTCATTGCTGTGTAAATGTATGTGGGTATACAGTGTGTGTGTGTGTAGGTGGTCTCATTGTATCTAAGTCCATGTTAAGCTACTTCATTTGTCCTCTAAGAAACTGCTGCCTGGTTAACTATGATTAATACACTGAATAGTTATCTGCGGTTTCGGCTGTGAGTCGCCAGCTCTACTGTTGTGAACCAGTGTGATATCTCCATTAATCAAAGCTGGAGCTGCTGTCTAGTTAGCATTCATCATGGGCTGTATTATGATATTCAGATGATTCAGTGTGCAGGACTGTGTGTGCTGAGCTGGCCAGGACAGAGAAAGAGAAGGGGGGGAGTGAGAGGTGAATGGGCCGGAGAAATCAATGCATGCGGGGAAAGGCTGTTCTCAGCAGTAAGGGGTCTGGAGCTCAGCAATCGAGTCTTTCTCTGCTGAATTAATGAGAGGGCTGCATGGGCCATGGAGATCTGTTGGCTTCCACCCCAACACTGGCCTAACAACGGGGGAGATGCTGATGTAGGGCCAAGGACTTAGAAGGGATGATACAGGCCAGACAATAGAAACAGAGGAGCATGCAGCTGTGGCCTCCTCACACACAAGCACACATGACTGAAAATGACAGGAAGCACTTATTCACAAGACTGATAGAAGAAGTATTCAGATCCTTTAGATGTACTTAAGTCTGAGTAGAACACCACAGACAAAAAGGTACTCCTTTACAAGTAAAACTCCTTTCAATGTTATTTATCCATCTTAGATTTTATTATATGATATTATCAGTTAATGTAGTAATTTGTGTGAATGTGAGTGATTGTCTGTCTCTATGTATCAGCCCTGTGAGAGGTTGGCCACCTAAGACAGAAGAGTTGAGACATCAAGGGGTCAAACGGCAGCGGGTCACATGACTCCTGTAGCTTCAAATAGTTCCAAACAGCTGATTCAGATCCACTGTCCACCTGGTCCCTACTGAAAACAGTAGGGACCAGGGGAATTTATCAGCAAATTACTGCTTTTAATGCTTTTAAACTAATTGTTTTCTGTTGCTGTAGATAGCTCAGCTAATTTAGCTAGTTAGCTAGGTACCTAATCTATTAAAGTGACCCAGTTTTTGAGAAATGGTCAAAAGGTTGTAAAATGTGTTTTGACATATTGCTAACTTAAAATGTCACAAATATAATTATTGCTTTCAGTTTCAACTTCTAAATTTGGAAGTTACCAACCAAGTAACTCTGCTAAAGTTTGGGACTATTCAACATCCTCATGATCCGCCATCGCTGTTAAGAGGAAAAAAAGAGACTATATAGAGTCACTGGAGATGTCGTCACTCATTGTGGGTCGACCCCCCCCATCCCCCAACCCTCCACATTATATGTATTATAGCTAATTACTTTATACACTGTGAAAGATGTTGCTCATAGTGACAAAACATCCAACTGCAGTTCTCACCACATATTGCATTTTACTAAAGGAGCTGAATACTTTCCCCCGCTTCACTCATGCAAGAACACACACACACACACACACACACACACACACACACACACACTTGACGGAGCTTTCTTGCAATCATTCGTCACAGTCCTGGATCAAACACAGCTCGCTTTATGGCGCCAGCTTTAAGTCCACTCAGGTTATTGCTCCATCTGTATAAAGAGGATATCAGGAGGCTGGGGGATACTTTACAGTATTTCTTTATGAGAAACAGGCACTCATGTGCATTACATGGTGTGGATAATGTGCCGTGTAAAAGTGAAGGACTGCGTACAGTTGACTGATGTAATGCTTCACAAATAATCCTGTTTAAGTGTGATGAATATCACAGTCTGAATTTGCCCCAGGCATCCATCTGCTTTATTGGGCAGTGAGTGTTCGCTGTTGGTACAGTAGAGCTGAGTGATAAAGCCTACAGTATTAAAACTGTGAAGCGATATTTTTAGAGGCAATGAGGAAGAAGAAAAAGTCTTTACAGGATGTCTTCTCATCTGGCATGTGATGTCTCGGCATCCTTTGGTTTGACGTGTTATGCGGCTGGAGGAGTTCACAAGGGAATCAGGTACTTCGCCGTGTTGAGCAGTAGAGGGCCCACTCGGCTCTCTCTACTGGCTCCTCCTCAGGCCCTCACCACCAGTATGAGATATAAGGTGTCCCCCTGAAAATTGCCAACGATTTCTCCCTGTTCTTTGTAATTAAAAGGCTATTACTCAGAGGAGACAGAGGCTCCAGTATGTATTTGTTGGATTCCTGTATCACTGCCATACACACTTCTTGACTGTTAACTGCGGGTAAGTTTTATTGCTTTTTCATTGATCTTGGTGACAGATAACAGCTATACTACAATCAAATTGTAAATGGAGAAGCAAACTGGAGACAATTAAAAGAACCTGGCTTCAGGAAACAAAACTTAAAGTTTTTGTCTGTTTGTAAATTACGTAATCTGTCCTACGCCAGGTGATGCATATTGTAAAACTGCTATACTGATATTAATTTACTATAGCTGCCAACTTTATTTATATAGCACATTTCATAAACAGAGGCAAGGAAAAGCAGTAACAGCGTCAGGTAGCAAAGGTAACTATCATGTAGTAAAAGAGTAAAAACATTACAAACCTCTACCAAACTGTTTGCAGTGCTGGCTTTCTGTTAAAAATATTGAGTACCAAAATGAGATATAACCCAAATGACATCATCAGGTTATCTTCTGAGACTTTTGAAAATTCCCTGATAGCCACTAATGGTATTATACCACTGCTTTCACAGGCTGAGTAAACTCAGGCAAATGTAGTATGTGGATCTTTGTGTGAAATTTGTGTAGTGCCCCTTTAAATTCATGTGGTCAGCATATGTGCATGCTAATGAATAAATGGCTGCTTTTGCTGAATTGACAGAGGTTTAGGCTTCTGGTACATCTCAGCCAGGTTGTCTTTATGGAAAAAATAAAAGAACAAGGAAAGTTTTTATTGGAACATAAATAATTTAACTTTGAACTTTTTTTGATATTGCATGTATATACCAGTGGTTCACAACCTGTTTTCCTTGGAGCCCCCTCCAAGGATGTTTGTAAGAAAAATTGAGCCCCCCCCCAAATAAAAATAAAAGGATGGGGGATATATTTCACTGCTTGCCCTAAATTCACTCCTCTAAGTTTGTGTTGTGCTTGTTGAACAGCTGTTTGATACACTGCTCACACTGTCTCTGTTTCTGGCTGGTTTCTAATGATCCTTCATGGCCTCTGCTCTCCCTCTGCTCCGAAATTATGTCGGATGACAGTTAAGGGAAGCATGGGGCGTACAGTACGTTAGCTTCCCACAGTGGAAACACAGCCTAAGAGAGAGAGAGCACAAGCAATGGCAGAGCGAAGTAGAGTGTGAATGAAGGC